ATAGATAGATAGATAGATAGATAGATAGATAGATAGATAGATAGATATAAAGACAGAGATATTCAGACAGACTGATATATAGATGAGATATAGACATAATTAGATATAAAGACAGAGACAGATTCAAACAGACACTGATATATAGATTAGATAGACATAGATATACAGAGAGAGATTCAGAGACAGACTGATATATAGATGATTAGATATTGAGAGACATAGACAGATAGATATATATAAAGACAGATTCAGACAGACTGATATATAGATGATTACATATTGACAGATATAGATGATTAGAGATTAGACATGGATACAGACAGACCAATAGATGATTAGATATACAGTCACTAAATGAAATTAGTGACTAATTTGAAATGTTTCAAATTGAGGACTACCTAGTACTAGTAGTATAGACGACTATTCTTGGAGAGTAAGCTGCAGCAGAGAAGACTCAACTCCTTGGGCCTTACCTAAGGCAGGCAAACTGGAGCAAACCTACCTTACCAAATCTTACTGTTTGAATATTAGAAATTTAGATTGACTAAAAACACAAGCCCCATGTGTTAGACCAGACCTCAGTTTTGCAGTGAAAGATAAATCTTTCATTCAAAACTTCATCTGTTTTTCATGGATGAATAGCCATTAAATCAAAGACCTGTCCATTAAATAGAGGCTTTATTGCAAATGGTGCCATTAATGTCAATTACATAATTGTGTAATTGATGCAAATTGATGTAAGAGAAATAAATTTGGATTTAATGGACAAGCCCTCTGAATGGTCCATGAAATTGAGATTTTTCCTGCATAAACTTAATACAGCTGGAAACCAACTGATAGTCAACACAGATAAATATTTCACCCTCTTTCCCCCCCCCCTCATCACATATAAATAGAAACTACATTTTACTTTATTAGAAGACGCATTATAAAGGCATTTTATTTGTAGCAGGTCTCTTAAAAAGAAAATTTTCATTACAGTAAAATATGTAATATTCACTGCATATTTCAAAAGCTTACATTTCAACTGCAGTAACTCACAGGACAAAGCAAATTTCAGGTGCAGAGGCTAAACAAAATTCCCTTTCAAAAATACTCATCACTGTATAAATTCATCCATTAAAAATACAAACTTCCTATCAAAATTATTTTCTAGCATATGCTGTTCTGGCAACAAGGTAAGATCTCTGTATTTCAAGCACGATTAGGATCAAATCTTGCTACGATATCTACAGATTTCCTGCAATTTCCAGGTTCATTTACGTAGCTTTTGACAGTAAGCAGCATACAAGTAGTCCTCAGCTTACAACAGTTCATTTAGTGACTGTTCCCATTTACAAGGCAACAACAAAAGTGACTTTGAACCATTTTTTTCACCCTTTGGAGCATCCCCCATGGTCACGTGATCAAAAATTGAGATGCTTGGCAACTGACTCATATTTACGACCATTGCTGTGTCCCGGGAAAATGGGATCAGCCCCTATTGGTTTACAGGGAAGCCAGAATCACTTAACAACCGTGGCAAGACAGGTGGTAAACTGGGAGCAAAACTCACTTAACAAACGTCTCCCTTAGCAACAAAAACATTGAGCTCATTTCTGAGGATTTCTGAGGACCTGCAAGTGTACACAGGGAACAAAACCAAAGGTGGCATTCAGCAGGTTCCGACTAGTTCTGGAGAACCGGTAGTGGAAATTTTGAGTAGTTTGGAGAACTGGAAAATACCACCCCTGACTGACCCCGTCCCATCTATTATCTGCCTGTCATTGAGTCCCAGATGATTGGCTGGGTCTTCTTTTGTTGCTCTGAACAGGAGAACGGAGCTGGAAAACAGGTTAGTGAGGTGGGGAGCAGAGGTAGTATTTGGCAGGTTCTGACCAGTTCTGGAGAACCGGTAGCAGAAATTTTGAGTAGTTTGGAGAACCGGCAAATACCACCTCTGACTGTCCCCGCCAACCCCATCTATTCTCTGCCTCCCATTGAGTCCCAGCTGATCGGCTGGGTCTTCTTTGGTTGCCCTGCACAGGAGAACAGAGCTGGAAAGCAGGTTAGTGGGGTGGGGAGGGAAGGGGGATTTTGCAGTATCCTTCCCCTGCCACGCCTACCAAGCCACACCCACAGAACCGGTAGTAAAAAAAAAATTTGAATCCCACCACTGAACAAAACCCACACTTCCCTATCACCGATGACATTATGTAGTTGGGTGATAAAATGTCTGCCAGGGAAGAGCCAAGCTCAGAGACAACCAGGACTTCCAGAGGTACAAATATTTCAGTCTCTTATCTGAAATTGTATAGGTTCAGGCAGGAGCTCAGGGGCTGGACTAGAAGACCTCCCAGGTCCCTTCCAGCTCTTTCATTCATTCTCTTCTCACTATATCCTCTCCTATTAGAACACAAGGACTTGCACCTTTGTTTCACAACAACATGCAAAGCGCAAGAGCTCTGATGAAACGCACAAGGATCACATTCTTAACTTCCTCACAATGTATATTCCAGATTTATGAAAGAGTCTGACAGCAGCTTAGACCATGTGCACCAAGGTACCCTCAAAGTATGCCGGGGAGAAAAAAAAACAACCTAGATTTCTAGTTGTTGTTTTTTCAATTTGCCCTGTGAGGAACAATGGGATCTTTTCAGCCAGAAGTGTCTCATTTCTTTTCTTTTTTTTTATTTCCAGGCTTTTCTAAATCAGCAAGAGGAAGACGATTCCTAAATCCACTTCCTCTTCCCAGGCCTCAAACCCGGCCCAACTTTCGACAGCCTCCTGGATCTTTCACAACATCCCGCGCAGCCGCTTCCCCTGTCCACCGGTTTGACCCTGGCTTGGAAAACTGTCTGTCTTTCCAACCCAAAACAGCGGTGGCTCTCTCCACACAGGTTGTTTTCTGCTCAGGCTTCCATAGGATGCCCTCGGACCGATCCTTAAAAGGAACTAGCCCCGCGATCCACAAACGGATGTCGTCCCATCCTGTCCATCTAGCCAAGGGGTGTGTGGGGGGGGTGTAAAAATACATCCAAAGACGACGGAGCTGGAACCAGTTGTTAGGCTAAATATGGGGGAAGCCCGGGCCCCATTAAGGCTACCAGCTAAAAAAAGGCTGCCAGGCTCCTTAAAAAGATCTAATGAGGAAAATACGGCCGGTGAAGGCCAGGGGAGAGAGAGAAAGAGATGGAAAGAGAGTGTGATAGAAAAAGAGAGGGAAAGAGGGGGGGGTGGAGGAGAGAGAAAGAGATGGAAAGAGAGTGTGATAGAAAGAGAGGGAAAGAGAGAGAGGGAGGGAGGGAGGGAGGGATGGAGGAAAGAGAGATGGAAAGAGAGTGTGATAGAAAGAGAGAGAGGGAAAGAGAGAGAGAAAGGGAGGGAGGGAAAAGGAAAGAGAGTGAGAAGAGAGAGAGAGAGAAAAGGCCACCATCCCCATTAAAGCAAGGGGAGAAGATGGTGGGCAGGACCTGGAAAGTCTTTCTCTCTCTCTCTCTCTCTCTCTCTCTCTCACACACACACACACACACACACACACACACACACAGACCGGTGTGGAGAAAGAGGAAAAAGGAAGAATTACATCACCAGTCCAGAAGAAGGGTTTCAAAAAAAAAAAAGGGAGGGGGGGAGCTGTGAATCTGCCCACCTTGATGAAAACTGCAATCCCCAGGGAAAAAGAATGTGGGGGAAGGAGGGAGAAGGGAGAGGAAGAGAGGGAAGGGGAGAAAGGAAGGGAAAGAAAAGGAGATGTGGATAAGGGGGGGAGGAAGGAAAAAATGGAATGGAGGAAGAAAGGAAGGAGAGAGAAAAGGGGAGGGAGGGAGGGGAGGAGGGAGAGAAAGAAAAAGGGGCGGGAGGGAGGGAAAAAGGAAGGAAGGAGATAGAGAGCAAAAGAAGGAAGGAGAAAAGGAAATGGGAAGGAAGGAAGGAAGGAAGGAGGAAAAGGAAGGAAGGAGAAAAGAAAAGGGAAGGAAGGAAGGAGGGAAGGAAGGAAGGAAAGAAGGAAGGAAAAGGAAAGGAAGGAAGGAGAAAAAGAAAACGGAAGGAAGGAAGGAAAAGGAAAGGAAGGAAGGAGAAAAAGAAAAGGGAAGGAAGGAAGGAAGGAAAAGGAAAGGAGGGAAGGAGAAAAAGAAAAGGGAAGGAAGGAAGGAAAAGGGAAGGGAAGGAAGGAAGGAAAAGGAAAGGAAGGAAGGAAAAGGAAAGGAAGGAAGGAGAAAAAGAAAAGAGAAGAAAGGAAGGAAGGAAGGAAGGAAGGAGAAAAAGGAAGGAAGGAAAAGGAAAGGAAGGGAGGAAGGAGAAAAAGGAAGGAAGGAAAAGGAAAGGAAGGGAGGAAGGTAGAGGGAGGGAGGGAGGAAAAGACTAGGAAGGACGGACAAGGGAAGGGAGGGAAAGGAAGGGGGCGCCCCGAGGCCTCTCCCAAGCAGGGCCACACAAAAGGCGGCGTTCCCCCCCCCACCTCCTGCCAGGCTTCTCCGCTCCCTTCTTCCCCCTCCCTCCCCGGGTGAGGGGGGGGCGCGAGCATCCCTG